CCAGGCCGGGTTTTATAAAGTACTTTGACTTAGTGCTTTGGTGGGCCTTGCCAAACGTTCTACTAATTATATCTTCATTCTTTAGAGCTCTTTTGCGACAACTTATAGCTCAAGCCTGCATCTACCCTGATACAAGCGTCTATAAAGTCCGACAAGTCAGAGTCATGCTTGACTTTTGATCTCGGACAGTTTGGGGCCAGCTGCCTCTCGAAATACCGTGCATGTTCAGTAATCCACGGATCCACGTCACAAATCTTGTAACTAAGTTACAGTGTCCTATTGGTTAGTAGGAGGCACACTCCTGAATCACCGTCATGGCGTCGGAGTAAAGAGCTTGGTCTGTAACAACTGACTTCACTTTCCTCCTTTGCATTCCAGTGTATCAAACGTTTTGAATGTTGGAAAAGTAGTAAGGCTCACTAGCCATATTTTAAACATTTTTGCAGTTTTTTGAAGGAATTATTATCCCTCTCACATATGCTGGAGATGAGAGTAATATCGTGTAACTGAAACCACGCTCTCTCTAACATCATACCCTTGTAATTTCTTGATTCCTTTATCCTGAGAAATTCGATGCAATACCGAGCACTCTAGCTGTTCTTTGATCGGCCGTACATAAAAAGGAAATCGTGGGAAACTGAAAGGGAGATTTAACAATCAGATCGCTGGCACAGGCGAAAAGCAATTTGATACAGTTTACAAAGATGAAGTACCTATTAAGGAAATAATTTATTGCTGAGCGTAAAACAGAATGCGTAGAAATAACCCATTTTATAAATTCTACATTTTCTCAATAAATAGTTATTTCGGTCTTTTGTATCACCAATTTCCTCATTTGCAAGCCTGCAGGGAATAACTCATCCATAATCAGATTTTATCCAAAGTACTCTGGCAAATTCCTGGTTTTCTCCTTTTAAAGCCTAAGCAAGGGAAAAAGAAAATCAAGCTTTAATTTTATGAAGACTCGACATTTTCAACAATATTCTAAACGTCTTTGTCCTTTGTAACATGCATAATTCATGCTGCCATTATGGCAAACACTTTGCCTCGGTCGATATTTGCTAATCAAATGTATGATATATATTTGAAAAAGCCTTGAATATGAACTAGTATCGCAGAGGTCAGTGGTTCGAATCCCGTACAGGCCTGATTTTTTTCAGGTCTGATTTTTGCTATCGCATAAATAGCGCTATCTACTGCGAAGGATCGTGCATCATACGTATTTAATACCGCAGTTCAAAAATATATGAACTTCATATATTCATTGTATATGAATCACTCAGTTAGAAAAAAAGGTCATTATTATGCCAGAGGCAATGCAACCTGCTCGTACGTTTGCTTGGGGCTAAAAGAGGTTATACCAGAGAAGATCCATGGATTAAAGGCCTTTCAACCAATTATCAGTGAGCAATTATACCAACTTATCACTTACTAAAAAAAAAGGTCCATATCCAGATTGTACTCGGGGAAATTTTAGCTTTTAAGATCAATAAAACAATTTAATTTCTATAATACTACGAAAACGTTAGGCTTCTAAATGATCGAAAACAGGAAAACCTTTCTTTTCCGCACCCTGTTTCGAGTGATATACACCCATACAGCCCGAACGTACAGAGTACCGTAAAAAATTATTTCGTGGAGGACATGATTAAAACAAAACGCATGGATTACTCGTAGATGGTCAAATGTATTATTGTGAAAAGGTTTGAGACTGCAGTCATCTCTGGCTCGCTCATTTACAGTGTGTACGAAAACTTTCAAATCATTACAGCCACAACTCAATGAATTCTCCTAAGTCTAAGGAGTGATTGATTTCCAATACTATAACATGGACCTTTCAAGGACTAATTCGCTTCAACGACTTAAAACTACATTGTTAATTTCCACTAACTGCTAGGGCCCCTATTTTATCACATAGGTTTTCCAGTAATAATAATAATAGTGATGATAAACAATCTTCAAAGAGGAAGCTTCCACCACAGTACGTGGCTTTCAGGGAGGTCCTTACAGTTCAGTTGTAAAGAGACTTTCTAAATGAATCTAGCGTTCTAACGAATTACCTCAAGTTTCTTAACAATGCAAGAGTATTTCCTTTTCGTGACGTCATCATCCACGTCTATAAAGTAATCTGATATCCCAATGTGCACTTCGATGCGCTCCAGCCGCGGGCACGCACCTAACGGACGTAACACAATTTTAATTAAGAGAATTGCGCAATTTTTGGGTAAACAAAATCAGGCGTCTGGAGAAAAAAAAATTCAGATAACTATTCATTTGTTGTTACCGAATAATTCATTAATGGCTCCGGGAGAGACTGGGGTAAATGTAAAGGATATAGTCTTCAGGCCCCGCAGTCCACACAGACACATGGCGTGGGCAATTTCTTCGTTGATCGCAATCGTCCGATCAAGTTCCAGCTCTTGGAGCCTCAGGCAACCTTTGACTGAGAAAAGACACAGCAGTGAAGTGACATCTTCATTCCCCACATCATATCATTCGCATGATGAATTCATCACAGAGAGTGTTTAAACTTTAACAAAGTTTACAGTGCTTACCGATATAAATAAGTCCCGCGGACGAGAGACTGGGTCCGCCAACCGACAGATGACGCATATTCGGCCAGCAGTTTGCTATCGTTTCCAGGCTCTTGTCATTGAATCGTCCAGGATGGTCACTATAGGAAAAAGTAAATTTGTGTTGGATGCATGTAATTTTTATACAATCACCTTGAGATGCCAAACGAAACAAGATATATTCACGGTGGACTTACCACGGAAACATCGGTGAAACTCTAAGAGTGACAAGCTGTCTACACGCCCATAAAGCCCATAATGCCTCAGGGCAAGCGGGATATGAATCACTACTGTATATTAATGCTTGTAGCTCTTTGCAGTGAGAGCCTGCCAGAGCTAAACACCTAAAATAAAATCAAGGCAAACAGTGAGTATTGTTACTTACTCGTTTATTTGTTTTTGGTGCTAGTTTGCGTTTTTTCTGTTTAGTAACTCTACTTTACAGTATTAGTCTCCTTTGTTAATTTTTTTTTTCTGATGGTAACACCAGTATGTGTTTTGCAAAGCTTTCAGGTTTTTACTTCGTTATGGTCATGCGTATTCTACACAACGTACCTGTCTGATATAAATACACCGCAGTCCTCGACGTGCAGGCTCGACAAGCTTGAACCAGCAGCCCTCAAAAGACACTCCATCCCTCTCTCGAAATGACACCTAAAAAATTAAGCATATGAAACGTTGGCAAAAAATTGGAGATATAAGCTTAATCAAAGTAAACAGGGCGAATAAACAGTGTTACCATATTGATTGTATAAATATTATCAAAAAGTGTGTTCGCATTACCATCGTCATGATGAATAAAACGTCCCCGCATTTATCGCTCGTTGTATAGAATTCAAGGAACATGAGAAAAATTACTCTTTTCTCCCTACTCAAACAACTGAGAGAAGAAAATCCCCCGTTCACTTTTACCAAGCTTTAAAAGGCGTGCTGTGCAACGTTAAGGTTCTTGAGAGGAGTTGCAAAACGAGGTGATGGAGCTGTAAAAGGCTATGATATAACTATAACGGTATGATTAAAATTAGATACATGACCGATAGAAAGATGAGGCTAACGGAATAACTGCTAACTTCGTAAAGGCCTCACCGCAAATCCTCTGATGTATTTAAAGCATTAGATTTGTCTCTTGATCTTATTTTCCTCAGCCCTAAAAGTTCACAACACGTCCTCACTTTAGAAATCGTTTGAACAATTGAAAAAAACTTAAATGGATGGCAAACATTCCGCCTAATCATCAACGACT